GCTGATGTGACCTCTATCTTCAGGCTTTCTCATATATTTTGGATAGGAGTCATTCCCTTGTTCAAATATAAAGTAAAGTGAAAAGTTTTCAATTATTATTGTGCCTTCCGGGAATCTCCTTTGATCAAAATTAAACATATTTATCCAAGTACCCTAGGAGGCATTCCCTTGTTCAAATTTGAATTTCATTTATATCAAAGGGAAAAAAATTTTTGGTGGGGGTGGTGTGCTTACAGGAGATCCCTTTTGATCAAAATGGAATATACTTCTCCAAGGACCTTGGGTAATGTACTTTCAGAATATATATCGTTATGGTGGTCTATCTTCAAAACCCTAGGAGGAGTTTGATAACAAACAGACAGACGGAGGCTATATATATATATATATATATATATATATATAATAAATAAAAGTTTAATGGTCAGAGTTAAATCAGACCAGGAAGCAGTAGTATTAGAAAGTGCTCAATACATGTTTAAAAAATAAAAAACTCAAAATAAGATGTAGAGCTTTTAACTTAAAAAATCAGGTAAATTGAATTGAACCTTATATATATATATATATATATATATATATATATATATATATATATATACACACACACAAAAAAAAAAAAAAATACATACATATGACCTTGGTAGTTTCCTCAGGAGAGGAAATGTGTTAGTAAAGAAAACTTTTCCTTTTGTATTTTATTTATATCTGAATTTTGCATGCAGGTACATTTTGATGACTGAATAGAATGAATACATTATAAAAAAAACTGTGTCTATGTATAAGCATGTGTTCATAAAATGGAAGGTTCAATGAATCCGGGGTCAGTCATTTTAGAGCAATTAGGTAAAAGCCAGATTCTCGTTGCTCCTACAACAAGTGGTTCTACGGATAAATTCCTTTTGTAGTTCAATTCAAAAAGATTCATTTCTGTCCTTGTATTCAAAGGTGATTGATTAATTGAAATTCAAAATAATAAAGAGGGTGACGCTTTTAACTTGGACCAGCTTCTCAAATTGAACACAAAAAAAAACCCAAAAGAATAAAAAGCCTAAATAGCATTTTTTTTCTTCTTATGTGATCTCAGTCTCTTCCCAAATAAAATGCTTATTGTTCACAATAAATACTAACAATGTTAAAAGCATAGTCTTTTCCTTCCATCTTCTTTGTTGGAGGTAATAAAACCTACAAGGTTATTGTTGCATCAAATCAATCTTGATTTACCTAAAGTCTTGATAAATTGCATGTTTGAGTGCTGTCCTTTTCTGCCTGTATTTTATTGCAATACTATAAACTCTCCAGCACTGAATGGGATTGGTTAAAAAATAGCAAAGGGTGGAGTCAAACCAAAATTACTATTGGCTACACAAAGTGATAGGTGAGTCTTTTCCTCATCAACTGACATAGAAGAATTCATTCTCACTGATAAAGTAGGTAATAAGGTGTTGGTAACTATTTTTAGAAAAATCTCCAAAGTAAATTCTGACAGAATGCCACTATGAGAACATTATTCTTTAGCCGGGAATTTTTACCATTTTCCACAAAAAATAGATTCCATTGTTTTCACACACAGGAAGAAATTGAGAAATGGATCTTTCAAGTGGGGATGGTAAACAGGATAATAGACGTCATACAATATAGGGCTTTATAAACATATACACATATATAAAAACACACACATATATATATATATATATATATATATATATATATATATAGTTTTAAGGTATGCTATATTTATATTATATATAGTGCTCAATATCAGGGATAGAGTGAATGTATATATAAAAGTGAACATTGTAGTCAACACTAGGCAGGGTGATAGTCGGTTTCATGCTTATATGCAATCAACAGGTCATTGCTTGACAATTGTGTATAAGCATGAAACAGACTGTCGCTGCTGGGTGTTGACTTCAATGTCCACTTTTATATATATTACACACAAAATGCATTACACCCCTAACAAAGAATTTTTATCTTATGGAAGAATATGATATATTTTCTCACATAATTTTTATATATCAGAACAATGTTAGGCAAATCATACATTTCACCTTTCTTGGCAGATCTTAGTGATAAAAACAACATTGGCTTCATTACATGACCAGACATGTCTGAGAAAAAAAAAAAAAAAATTAAATTTAAAAGTTTAAAATTTCAGCATCCCAATATTTTCAGCATTTCCTTTTTGTGTATAATTATAACAAATGCTTGTGTTTTTATATTCCCCCTTTTGAATATATAATTTCATCAACAAAACCATCATATTAGTTTGATGAAGTCTTAAAGGATGAAATGTGCCACATAAACTTTCTTTCACTTTGTTATTAATTTGCCTAATAATCCAAATGATTTTATCACTTTAAATGTTATTTTTAGTGGATACTCGCATGTGAGTAGATGCTCTGTTTATTTATTAAACAGTATATCTATTTTCGTCTACTGACCTGAATATTTGAGAAATCTTATTAAAGAAAAATATGCACTCTTTGGCAGGATTCAAACTGCTGTTAGATCTGATGTGCTCTAGACTGACTGAGCTACAGAGAAATTGTCCATTCAGGCAAAATTTAATAGTGCTGTTAAGTGAAATTCGTCTAATCATAGACTTATAGAAATTTTCATATCTACTCAGTTTTGAATCCAAAAAAATCTTCTCAAAAAGTAATGTTAAATATATATGTATGGCATGTAACAGTGAAATTGTGCAAATTGTGTAACAGCAAAATTGTCCAATTATGAACTGTAATATCTTAGAAATAATTAAAGATACCTTACTGGAATTCTCTGAGGTTTTTATAACACTATTGGACTCTGCTTTGAGCAATAAGAATGTATAATTACTCTCTAAGCTTAACAGAAGAATCGTGATGAAATCGATCATAAACGAAAATGACATGATCATCATTAATTAATCATAGTTAAGGATCGGAAGCTCATGAAGGATTGAAATAAAGTTCAAATGGAAGCTTAAATACCAGTATTTAATTCTAATTGATAAGAACTAGCATGGCACAAATCCAACCTGTTAGGCATCAACCCTCTTCCTGAATGCACCACAAGCTTTTTTAATGAATTCTTCATCAATGTTTTCCACTCAGGTGTTATTGGTGGCTTTTCTAAGGTCTTGTGGGTTACAAGGTGTGGGGGGGTATCTCACAAACTTTTCTGGACAGTTCACTTCAGATGCTGAAGTCTAAGGAGTTCAAATGAGGTGATGAAAGAGGCCAAGTTTCCTTATCCATTCTATGACTTTTCTGTATGGTCTAAACTTTTCAAAAGAAATATTTCATAATTCCACAGATTTTTCTGACTATTATCTTTATCTTTGTTGTTTTTAACACACTGTTTCAACTGATAACTTCTTCAGGTCTTCTGATGGCTAAATGTACATACATGCTGAAATCTTATGAAGATATGGAATCTACAATCAGAATCCAGTAACACAATATTAGAACAAGAGAAACTTATATAGAGAAAATTAATTTAGCATCACAGTTGGAAAAGTAATTCAAATTGGCAAAAAGTAAAATTAAAGTTGAAAAATGAAACTTTATGTCTAAATAGAGAATAAGATTATGTAGCTCCTATCTTCTAAACTAGGCTAGAGTTTATCTGCACAATATAACAAAATGAATCTCAATCAGTAGAGGCAAACTTATGGTACAGAAAATTTACAATAGAGAATTATCAATTGTTTTGGCATTCAGAAAATCTAGCATAAAAATAGGCATGTGGAAGGGAGTTTAATGGATATTAGCATAGAAAGTGGAACTGGTGATCCAACTTCAAATTCCAGCCTAGTCTGTAACATTCACTTTTTCACAAATCTCTTTGGCAAAGGCATGAATCCATTTCTCCCCATCACCTATGGTTTGAATAACAGAGTCGACTTGGATGACAATCAGTCTAAAAGAAGAAAAACTAAACCCAAATCATGGACAAGGCAACAGGAAATGACTTCACTGTCTTTTCCAAGAATTCATGGCAATTCATATAATCATGATTGTCCACATCCAGCAGAGAATGGCATTAACAAAAGAAAACAAAAAAACAATCATCTGACAATATTCATACAGGCTGGATATTACTAATTTGGTAAGCTTGGAACCAAAACAGACTTTGGGGGAGGCAGATTTCTAAACTAGAGTAGTTTAGTATTTACACTATTACATTGTTCAAACTGCTGTCCTCTTCTTTATTGCTATATTCATGACGTGCGAATATAGTAATAAAGATGAGGACAACAGTCCAAACAATGTAAATAGTTACAATACCTCATCTCAGAAACATAGAGTAGATTAGAGTAAGAGAATAATAAAAATAAGGTATATATTGTACTATATTACTGATAAAAATGTAACATACTGAGATATAAACCGCTCTCAAGTGTGGTTTGGAGATGGAATTACATTTCCCTGAAATTTGAAATAGAAATTACTTTACAACTTTTTACACTATCACTTTCCACAAACAACACAAGTTCTGTACAGGACACAGAAGTTTTATATCAGAAATTTCCTACTGCTGATAAAAAATATTTTAACATTACAATTAACTTTTATAGAGATGTTTTGTTTTTGTTTGTCCTTAGGTGTCAATTTCCCACTGAATATTCTTTTACCTACCTACAAAGTAATGACCATCAGATTGAAGTTACCATCCTGATACCATTCAGTGCATTCATGTGATTCCATCTGCATTCATATAAAGCAAATGTTTTTGCATATATGAAGAAAGATAATAATAATCTGATAAAAAGACTTTGGCTAGAATGCAAGTGAATCCTCACCAAAAGGATGTGGGTGATGGGGTTAGAATAGTACAAAGTAGATGATATCAAGGGAGTAATGACGGTTGGGGTGTGAGGAAAAAGAAGACAAAAAAAGTTAGACTAAATAAACAAAAGTGAAAGTAAATATAAATCGGCGTGAAGGGGAAATGACTAAAATAAATAAATTTTGAGAGGTAATAAAGGTTAATAAGATAATGTGAGAGGGGGGGTATTAAAAGAACTTAAGACAAAATAAGGATAGAAAAAGAGAGAGAAACACACAGAAGACAATGAGAGAATAGAAATGAGAGAAGAAGAGACAGAGAAAATAGAGAGGCAAGAATGAGAGAAAAAAAAAATCACAAAAAATGACAAAGAAAATAAGAAAATGAAAGGATGAGAGAGAAGTTGAGAGGGGAGAAAAGATGAGAGAGAAGTTGAGAGGGGAGAAAAGATGAGAGAGAAGTTGAGAGGGGAGAAAAGATGAGAGATAAGTTGAGAGGGGAGAAAAGATGAGAGATAAGTTGAGAGGGGAGAAAAGATGAGAGATAAGTTGAGAGGGGAGAAAGATGAGAGGGGAAAAAGATGAGAGAGGGGAGAAAAGATGAGAGAGAAGTTGAGAGGGGAGAAAAGATGAGAGAGAAGTTGAGAGGGGAGAAAAGATGAGAGAGAAGTTGAGAGGGGAGAAAAGATGAGAGAGAAGTTGAGAGGGGAGAAAAGATGAGAGAGAAGTTGAGAGGGGAGAAAAGATGAGAGAGAAGTTGAGAGGGGAGAAAAGATGAGAGAGAAGTTGAGGGGGGAGAAAAGATGAGAGAAGAAGAGAGGGGCTGAGGGAGAAAGATGAGAGAAAAGTTGAGAGGGAGAAAAGATGAGAGAGAAGTGAGAGGGGAGAAAAGATGAGAGAGAAGTTGAGAGGGGAGAAAAGATGAGAGAGAAGTTGAGAGGGGAGAAAAGATGAGAGAGAAGTTGAGAGGGGGGAGAAAGAAAAGAGAGAAGTTGAGAGGGGAGAAAAGATGAGAGAAAGAGTGTGGGGAGAAAAGATGAGAGAAAGAGAGTGGGGAACCAAGGATGGAAGAGAGAAAGAGAGAGGAAAAATGGGTAAAAAGAGTTTAAGTCTTATGAGAGAAATAGAGACGGGAGAAAATAATGAGAGAATAAAAAAGAAAGATGCAAGAGAGAATGAGAGAGGGTAGAAAATCATGAGAGAAAGTGGGAGACAAATGAGATAGAGAAAGATGAGCAAAGAGGAGACTAAAGATGAGAGAGAAAAAAAAAACAAAACAAAAAACAAACGAGAGATGAGTAAGAAAAAGTGAAAAGTCTTAATAAAACAAAAAAAAAAAAAAAAATTATTTAATTTTCAGATACTTTATTTTTTAACAAACACAAGTAACAGTCCGGAATTTTCCTCACAGCTGATTTCTTTCGACTTCTCTTCACCTCCCCACTATCACTATTCCTTAAAATTGTTTTTTTTTCCTTCTTTTTTTCAGTGTGTGTGTGTGTGTGTGAGCGAGCGAGTGAGTGCAAAATATGCAAACAAGCGCTTTATAAGAATAGTTGCATTTCATCTAGGTTCCCCTGTAAAATGATCAGCCATGCTTCTGTACACACACACAGACAGACAGACAGACAGATCGCCAAGTGCAGTTAAAAGGCCCCTTTAAGAAGACCTGACTATAGAGAAAAAGAAGAAAGGCATTACGTAGATGAAATTTAATTGTTAACAACATGGGCAATTTGGTTTCGGTATCGATTGTTGAGGTACCAGTGGTGGTGAGGGGTGGGATGACGGACGACGAGGCTCCTGTCTATTTGATAGAGTTGGAAATTTCACAATGAAAGCGATAGAAAAGCTTGTCTGCCATTGTGTGAAATGTGCTTTTTAGTCGTCTTTTTATTTTGAAAATGCTTCTAGGAAAAAAAAAAGTCGAATACAAATGCATTTTTCTCATACATGAAAAATAACCCTGCTGATGAGACAGAGGATGATCAATTCTTCCTCCTTCACTCTTCTTTGATTCTCACCATTACACCTCCATCATTCCTCTCTCTCTCAGTATTATATATATGATTTCAATCCTCATTGAGTGCTCCAAAACTTTTGGCCTTGTGTCTCATCTAAGCTAAACTTAGTAAATCATTATATAGCGGGTACTTGTATTTGAAATAGACACTGCATTTTTTATTTTAAACAGTGTGTACAAGTATATCCCCAACCATGATAATTTTAAAGTAATAAAAATGGATTATTAAATCCATTCTTAACCCTTTAGATCGTTACTTATAAAGGATTAAAAATGGATTTATTTTTAATCCATTTTTATTACTTCTAACATTATTATAGAAGGGGATACTTGTACACATTGTTTAAAATAAAAATGTGGAGTGTATTTCAAATATGAATATCTACTATAATAACATTAATATAATGTTTATAGTAGTAAGAAATACATTTGGAAAATATATTTGCTGATCTCCTAATTTTTCAAATTTAAAAGCTCAGCATGTTGAATTTTCATTTTTATTTTATTTATATGTATTGAGCACTTTTTAATACTACTGTCTCCTGGTCTAATTCAACTTAGACCAATAACTTTATATATAATGGATTAGTGGTAGAATCCCCGACAGAAGCCAATTCAGTTGGGTTTCGATCCTAGCTAGAGGCAACCGGATGTCTAGATGATCTAGTGATACAGTGAAACAGTCTGTCTGTGGATGACAGTGTATATGTGTGTATATATATATATATATATATATATATATATATATATATACACACACACATCATGTAAAACTTTTAAAAGCTCTACATTTTTACTTTTATTTTATTTTTCACACATGTATTGAACACTTTTTAATACTACTGTTTCCTGGTCTGATTCGATTGATCATTAACCTTTTATGTATTTTATATATATATATATATATATATATATATATATATATATATATATATATATACTGTTTATATGATATTTTATTAGATACAAATATTAAGTAAATGTTCTGTTTTTAATAAACAGTATTAACTACATTTACTGGCCTGAATATCAATGAAATTTCATAGAAAACACGTGTCCTCTGACAGGAATTGAACCTGTATCCTACATGGAACTGTTATATAGCCTGATGTGCTATACTATTTAGCTACAGAGGAAGTGTTAATACAGTTTATTATAAACAGATCATTTATTTAAATATTTATATCTATAAAAATAATGTATAAACAAAAAATATATTTAAATAATTGTCATCCTTAGTCCATTTCATTATATTGTGTGTATGTGCGTATGACATTGATTCAACTTTATATTATATAAAATATAGTTTTAAATGAAATGCTATATTTATAGATGAAAGTACTTAATATTCAGAATAGAATCTATACAAATATAAAAGTGTACACTGGGGTCAACACTGAGCAGCAACAGTCTGTTTCAGGCTTGAACATAACCTTCAGGCCAGAAACAGACTGTCACCACTCGGGTGTTGTCTTCAGTGTCCAGTTGAATTAATGCCATTGACCTGGCTTGTGGTTATTAGTAATTTTGATCTGAAATTTTCACTGTATATTGTTGATGTGATGAATATTTACCATTGAATTAAGTGCATTGACAAGGAAGAAAAGATAATATTGAGAACTAAAAAAAGAAATATATTCCCCTACTCGTGCATAGCAGACACCTATAATTTTGCATGTAATAATTTAATAAAGAAGTAAAACTGTAATTCAAACACTATACAAGTGAGAAAAGCATGAACCCAGCTCTTTCTCTTCTCTCATTTGGGTAGACGAGGCTCTATAGCCTTGTGTGGCAACTAGTTTAAGAAAAGGAAAACTCTGAATTCAAAACCGTGGAAGCCAACAGATAACTACACCACTATCATTCCAAAGAAGTCATAGCAATTCACAGATAATAAAAAAAAAAAAAAAAAAAAAAAATGTGTAGAGAGCCATAATCGCCTATGTCCTGTAACTCCTAACAGAGTAGGCTATAAAGGCACACCAGGGATGAAAAAAAAAAAAACTTTCCCCTGGCTACCAAGCATTTTATAGGCATGCTTATGATTTTACTCTGGGGATTTGTGTTTTTTCCTACCCCTTCCTAAGTAATAGTGATTCTCCAGCATTTCCAGATTGGCCTTGGTGAATTTAGTTGGTGTGTGCAAAGTATGCACAAATCAGCTACCCTCATTGTTAGATGTTGAATTTGCCAAGGGAATTTGCCAAATGTCCATTTTCACAAATAACAATTGTCAACTACCTGATGGTTGTGCAAGTCATGGTTGGTCATTGTTCACAGGGAAGTACTTTTTTTTTTCTTTCTTTTTTTTAATCATTTCACCTCAAGCTAGGTAATAATGTCATTAAGATGCAAGGGACTACTGGGAGTGAAAAAGAATACGAAGACTTTAGACAGAACTGAAAACCCAAGCGGAAACAGGAAACAACAGATAAACCTCTTCTCTGCTCCTATTCAATCAATAGGGAAGAAGTGTGAATAAAGCGATAAGTGAACCTATCTCCTCATTAAATTTAGAAATCATATATATATATATATATATATATATAAAATGCAAGTTGTCAACACAAAAACACTATTTATCTACATAGCCACCACTATTTTCACCAACAATGAATAAATCTGCAAAACATACTTTTAAATATGGTCTGTCAGACACATTGCTATCACCACTGCTGAGATGCATTACCCGCAACCTAACTGTAGTCACATCCACTGTTTGGTCTCCACAATGTTCAGCAAACATCAATAAATGTCAATCAAAGTAATCTTTTCCACATAAAAGAATTCAATTATATGTCTGCTTTGTATACATTTTCATGCCAAACGCCATTTTACCAGATTGCTATCTGGAACATCGCAAAAAAAATTATGAGTTATTGTCAGAGAGTTTCAATCTCCATTGGCATACCATTAACATCAACTATGATATCATGTGTGAGCATAATAGGAGACAATTGACCCTTATATATTTCACTCTGGGGCCAGGAGGGATCGATTGATTATTTCTGTTGGCAACATATTTATAAAATGGATTAAGTCCAACAATTATTGAATATATTTTCTGTTTATATGTTATTTTTATAAAAATAATGTATTTAAGTAAATTCTCTGTTTTTTAATTAAACAGTATTAATTACATTTATAGGCCTAAATGTTTGAGAAATTTTGTAGAAATCATGCTCTCTCTGACAGGAATTGAACCTTATGGGAACTATCATTTGGCCTGACATGCTGTTAACGATTCAGCTACAGAGAAGCATCTGGTTTGCAAAATCTGAATTACTGTTTATAATGATTACACTGTTATAAATTGAGCACTTATTTTTTTCTTATAATTTTTTGATTATTAAAGTTTTATGCTTATATATATATATATATATATATATATATATATATATATATATATATATATATATATATTTATTTATTTAAACATTATTTTTGATGGATACTCACATTTGGGTAGGTGGTGTCTTTTTAATTAAACAGCATTTTTTGTCCAACTACATGAATATTTAACATTGAAAAACATAAGGAAAAAATTAATTATTTTTAATAATATGTGGAAATCTCCACCTTTTACCTGAAGACGGTCGCGAGACCAGAAACACGTGTAGTAAAATTATGGAAAATAAAGCATAATATTTAAAAAGAAAAAAAAAAATCCACATTACAACCAAAAACATTTGCGGCACCTCTCTTCTCTTCTTTTTAATATATATATATGTGTGTGTGTGTATATATCTTTTCCTCTGTACATCTCATTCTTTCACAAGTCTGTTTGGTGGTTGAAATGGTAATCAGTTTGCCTCAACTGTTAAAAGTTGTTACTTTAATCCGAATGCATAGTAGTAATTCATAATGTAATTTCCAAAATACCAAAATGTTTTCCAGCTGTACACATTCATCCTGCATACCTTTACTTGCTTCTGTCTCTGTTCTCTATCAATAAAGCATCCAACACAAATCACACTAATACTACTTTTTTCTATTCAGGAATCTCCCACTCAGTGGTTAAAACAGTATCAATTATATGTTCAGTGCTGGTCACTGATGCTACAATGGGTGATATAATGGTTACTAGCATCGAAAATTCAAATGACAAGCCAAATTCAAATTCTGACCAAAACAGTTTGGATTTAGTTAGGAAAGGCATAAATCTATCACTTCTATCCTTCTGCTATTTATATTAGGGCAGACTGGGTTCTCTTGCCTTGGTAGGGTAACCAATCTAGAACAACAACTCTGAATTCAAAACCAGAGAGAAGACAATGAGAATCCATTTCACTGCCTTTTTAAAGATTACTTTACAATTTACAGATATTAAAAGGAAAGGAAGTTTCAGTCATAAGAATATTGCATCATAAGAGAAAAATAAATTGTTCTTGACCATTTTCTCTTCCAATCAAATTTAACCATTTTAGCCCAGTGTGAAACAACACAAGAATCATCAGAAGAATTCTACAGGTTTGCACAGTTCTAAAAAAACAACAAAAAAAAAACCACCAAAAAAACAAAACAAAAAAAAACAGGATTTACAAGGTTATTAGGTGCAAAATTAAGCCTTCTGAAGTTTTCAAACAACTGATAAGCAATGACCATATAACCATTTGACATGCTTAAAAATAAGCTAACAATCTCTTTTTAATGCACAATGGACACAGACAAACATTGATGCACACTCTCTAGCATTGAGTGTATTCGCGCATACATCAGTTGCAAAAGCAAAATTACAGCTGAGCAGAGATTGCACCTCAATCTGCAGTAGGAATTGCATGAAAAACATAAATCAAAATAAATCGTGTCATGTCCACACGAACAGACAGGCATGTGAATAAATAGTGCTGCTGTTTTTATTTTAAGGACTGTCAGGAGGTTAAAGGAAAAAAATGAGAGAGGGGAGTAAGCAAACAAGAGAAAAAACAATAGAGTTAGAATGAAAGAGAGAGAGAGAGAGGGGGGTCAGAGTGAGAGAGAGAGGGGGGTCAGAGTGAGAGAGAGAGGGGTCAGAGTGAGAGAGAGGGGGGTCAGAGAGAGAGAGGGGGGTCAGAGTGAGAGAGAGCGAGAGAGAAGGGTATCAGAGTGAGAGCGAGAGAGAAGGGTATCAGAGTGAGAGCGAGAGAGAAGGGTATCAGAGTGAGAGCGAGAGAGAAGGGTATCAGAGTGAGAGCGAGAGAGAAGGGTATCAGAGTGAGAGCGAGAGAGAAGGGTATCAGAGTGAGAGCGAGAGAGAAGGGTATCAGAGAGAGAGAGAAAAACAAAGGATGGTCAGAGAGAAAAAAGAAAAAATGTGTGAGAGAGAGAGAGAGAAGAAAAAAATGTGTGAGAGAGAGAGAGAAAAAAAAAAAAATGAGAGAGAGAAAAAAAAAAAAATGTGAGAGAGAGAAAAGAAAAATGTGAGAGAGAAAAAAAGAGAGAAAAAGAAAAAAATGTGAGAGAGAAAAAAGAAAAAATGTGAGAGAGAGAAAAAAAAAAAAATGTGAGAGAGAGAGAGAAAAGAAAAAATGTGTGAGAGAGAGAGAGAAAAAAAAAAAATGTGAGAGAGAGAGAGAAAAAAAAAAATGAGAGAGAGAGAAAAAGAAAAAATGTGAGAGAGAGAAAAAGAAAAAATGTGAGAGAGAGAAAAAGAAAAAATGTGAGAGAGAGAAAAAGAAAAAATGTGAGAGAGAGAGAGAGAAAAAGAAAAAATGTGTGAGAGAGAGAGAAAAAGAAAAAATGTGTGAGAGAGAGAGAAAAAGAAAAAATGTGTGAGAGAGAGAGAAAAAGAAAAAATGTGTGAGAGAGAGAGAAAAAGAAAAAATGTGAGAGAGAGAGGAAAAGAAAAAATGTGAGAGAGAGAGAAAAAGAAAAAATGTGAGAAAGAGAGAAAAAGAAAAAATGTGAGAAAGAGAGAGAGAAGAGGATCAGAAACAAAGA